CCAATTCTGAGAGCAGTGCTTCTCTGAAGGCACCTACCTACTCCCCAGAGCCCATGGGGAGCTGGCTTGGGGGGCTGGCTTAGGGGGCTGTCCATCAGTGCTTCTGGCTCAGCAGTGTGCAAACCACACAAAGGAGGCCACAGAGTTCTCTTTCCCCGCTATGCTAAGTCCCGGGGCAAACCTCCAGCTGTGTCTCAGGGAAAAGCGCATCAGTTCCTACACCCCAGTCTCTCAGAGAACTGTTTTCCTCCTAAGAGTGGTTCTTCTGATTCCCCTCCCCCCCTTTTTATAAGATTTATTTATGCATTACAAGAACTGGGGCAGGAGGGGAGATGAGAGGATTCACCAGAGACAGAGTGGGGAGCAGAACAGGCAGACTGACTGAAATACACTGCAGAGGGGAGCAGGGGGCGAGACAGGAGAGGTCTGCTGTGCCATGTGGGTTGCTCCCTGGCCTACCAGGGATAGAAATGGTGCTGCAGTGGCTGGAGATAGCTTGACAGTGCTGTCTTTAACCCCTGTGCCACCAAGGAGACCCCTGACTCCCTTTTGACTCAGGGTATCCTCCAGGAACCATTCTGCTTTCAACTGTGGCCTAACAACTCCAGACACTTAATTATAGACAACCCACTCCGATTTCAAAACTAAGCAATAGCTACCATTCATGGCATCTTCCACATTCAATTTATCTCTTTTAATCAACCTTTCTGGAACAGAATTTTTCTCCTCCCCCCAAATAAATCACTTATTGATTTCTCTATTTCTCACCACAGCATAATCATTCTTTCCGTCACTTAAGCTTTTTTAAATCTTGGAATGATTTTGACTCTGGGCTTTTACTAAGCCGCTGTAATCACTCACTAAGGCTGAAATATGGGCCCTTCCAATTAATCCCTCCCTTTCAATTGTTCCCTACTCTACCTCTGTCAGAGCCTTTCTCTTCTCTCAACATGGGTCTCCAAACCAACCTGTCAGTGGATAGGGCTATCTTCTCTTCTACCTGCAGTTTACACAGATAATAGGACAATGACACAGAGCAACTCCCTAGCCCCAATTCTGCACCACCTCCCAGCAGGCTCCACCTAGCTTTCCATCTTACAGTACACTATTCCCCAGCAGCCAACATCTGCTAGAAATGAGTGTCCTCCTCAAACAGGTAATACATTGCAAAAAAAAAAAAAAATCAAAACTAAAAACTAAGAACTAAAAAATGGCTATAGTTTTTGGAAGCTCACTTTCATCAGAAGTGCAGTATTCCTGTGCCCTCTTAACCGGGGGTGACTCTGTAATCTGATTTGGCCATTAGAACAGCAAATGTCACACAAGCAGAGGCTTCAAATTTGCTTTTGAATTGGGGTTTGCTCTTCTGCTGCTCTGGGAACATTTTTTTGAATGTCATAGAAGGAATCTAGGGCTACTTGGCTAGAGAACAGGAGGGGCAGCCACCTGTGTGCCTGGTTAGTAGTCTGACAACTGTCAGGTGTGGAGATCACAGCGGAACATGCGACCACCAGCCACCCCTCCACCGACTGAAGATGCCCGAGGGAACCCAATCGACCTGAGCAGAAGAACCACTTAGCTGAACCCAGCCAGCATTGCTGACCACAGAATCATGAGCTATGGTAGCTATTTTCAGCAACTGCGGTTGGGGGTGACTTGTTACGCAGCAAGGGGAGCTGATTACTCAGCTGATTTAGTCATTTTCTCCTTGGAATTTCTTTTTCAACTATTTGATATCTGGGGCACTCAACCACGACATATCATCTTTATATTTGATGCCATTATTTATTTTTTCTGTAAGTGGTTTGTGAAGAGAACCCCCCCATTTTATACTTTACTATCCCACATGTGTAGAAAATAAACACACAGTTTTAGCAATCAATTAGTCATTTTTCCAGGGCGTGTCCATCCATCACATCAATTATTTCAGCACATTCATTTCAATACATCCAACCGTTAACTTTAAAAACTGAAACAAAAAAAAGCTGATAAAATACAAACCATAAAATATAAAATCCAGTTAATTAACCGAGAAACTGGCATGCAAAAGCACGCACAGAATATATCACATTAGTACCGATTGATTCATTTTCAGAAAAGTACTTCTTTTAAGCACTACTGATTGCATATTAGTCAAACGAACATAAGGGAACATGTACATAAGCGTACAAGTTCCACGGAAGCAATTGTTTGATTTTCACCAGGATATTACTTGTCTCCCCAGACACTTATTTCTCCTATGTGGTCTGCAACAGTAACCTGACAGACTGCCAAAAGCAAGGCTTCCATTCTAAGCGTCACTTACTCTCTCGCTGCTGTTCAATTAGATTTTACATTTAAAAGAGAAATTCCCTTGTGCTTCTTCTAATGATACACCTGTTCCTTGGGAGATTTCCTCTTTTGACAAGAAACGCCTTAAATCTGGCAAGAAAAACGGCTCAGCCTTTCTCTGATAATATCAAAGATCATTTGTTTGTATTAGATGTTTGTGTGGGTTTCCCTCCTCTTAGGAGCAGTAAAATACTGCTACAATTCCTTCCAGAACAACAGCACACACAACGTTTCTTGGCCTCCATTCTGCATTTCCACAGTACACCTGCACCAGAATAACTGCCTGCAATTAGAAACGCCGAGACACAGTACACAGAGAAATTCATTTGCTTGAGTCACTTCCTTTGGCCATCAACAAATGGAATATGTCAAACGAATAAATGCAACATCGCTTCAAATCTACCATCTTGTAATCTTTCCTCATGAAATTCTTGCTGTGAAGAAAATGAAGTTTATCTTCAGAATGATTCCCTTTTTTATGTTTTATAACTGAAATGTCCAAAGAGCCTTAAGAGAAGCACCATAGTTTTCGTTCCAATTCTAAACCCTAGAACGCAGTCAGATTTGGCTCTGGGTAATTTTAGCTAGTACTGCCTTCTGATGAGATTTCTACAATTGGCACACACAAAATAAGTGACCCCTTTTTCCAATAGTTTTAAGGACACCTTAAAGGTGTCCCCCTACACTCCCATCACAATGAATGCAATTTAACATGGAGCGGTATCAGAAACAGCCAAGAGACATTCTCTCCCAGATGTGAACACATCAGCATACTGCTTTCCTACCCCTTGTTCTCTGTGCCTTTTAAAATTTCAATATGTACAAATGAAATACAGATTTCAACCCATTCCCAACTGGGATGTCTGCTCCATAATAAGAGAAAAAGGGTTTTGCCTTCCTGCAGATTCAGCAAGACAAGTGGTGCTTGAAAATTACGTGTTTAGAGTGACACCTTGGAGCACTGACTTACTCTGCACACATGTAATCCTCATAAACCTCCCCAGACAGCCCTTATTTCATTTTGCAAACTGCACCCTGGCCGGGCTCCACGGCACGTGGTGTGTGGCGAGACTGTCCTGCACGGTTCTCGTTTCCTTCCTCCTCCGGGCTCTTTGATGGACACTTGTCAGTCATAGCCAGGAGGACAGGGACCAAGGCACCAGCAAATGGAAGAAAAAAAAAAAAAAAAAGGACACTGACAGTCACGCTTCCTTAATGAACTTTCCCAAGGAAAGCAACGTGAAAGCAACGTTCCCACAGGAAAAAACACCACGTTTGTTTGCCCCCTCCTAGCGGTCCATTGAAAATGAGCAACAATGCTGTTGCCTTTTTGTTTCCTAAAGACTTTCTTCTCTGCAAGCAGAAGCGTGTTCCTCAAAGAATGCTAGTATTTCCTGTGGAAACTGTATGGCTGCCAGTAATGGCTCATAATTTTCCCTCTTTTCTTTGCGTAAAAATGAAATAAACAAAACGTGGCGTTTGAAAATGGCCAAAATACCAGTTCCCTGCACTTACCACCTGCAGATGAAAGTCCTCACCCCGAGAGAAGGCCCAGAGGGACACATTCCCCGCGAAAAATTGACGCCGCCGAGCCCCGGACAGACACAGGACAGCGCGGGAGGGACCCGCTGGGCGCCGGGGCTGGACGGCGGGCGCAGCTGGGGTGCCGGGGACGCGCTCCCCCTGGGCTGGGCGGCAGCACCCCCAGCGTCCTCGTTAGCATGTATTATTGTTGTCTCCAGGACTCCTGCTAGGACTATTACTTGGCCCCTGGTTATCTCAGCTCCTGGGAGCCTCAGCCCTGGCCATCCCTGCCTCGGATACAACCCGGGGTGGCAGCAGGAATAATAACCACACGGAGCGGGCGCAAGAAAAGAACAATCCTCTGCACACCGAGTGGGGGGCTGTTTCCCCTTCCCTGGAGTACAGCCGCCGCTTGGCAGCCGGCGCCGCCGTTACTATAGAGACCTCCCCCCAAACCCTTTCTGCCCAGGCGCCGCCGCTGCCCGAGCAGCCGGGTCTCGCGGCACAAAGGGGGCCCGGGGTTTGGGGGGAGCAGGGGCGACCCCCGCGGGGGTCGCCCGGTGCAAACTTGGAGAGGCTGAGGCGCCCGCGCCCCCCGCCCGCGCGCGCCCTGGACTCACCGTGGCCGCCCCGCGCGCGCGCGCGCGCGCGTGTGGCTCGGCGCGCGGACCGACAGACGGACGGACCGACGGACGGCTGCAGCCCCGGCGGAGGAGCAGGAATCGCCGCGGCAGGAGCGGGGGGCGAGCGGCAGAGGCGCTGCCGCGGCCCCGCTACGTCACAATGCGGCCCGGCCGGCGGCGCCGCTCCCCGGGCCCCCCAACCGGCGCGCGCGGGCGGGGGCAGCCCCGGGGCGGCAGGACCCGGAGCCCGAGCCCGCGCGCAGGGACGCGGGGCGCGGCGCGGACGCACCGCCGCGGACGGGGGCGCGGCCACTGCTGCCTGAGCTGCCCGAGCCGCCGCGCCCTCGGCTGCCGTGCGCCCCACGCGCGCCCCCCACAAACCGGCGAGCCCCTCTCGGCCTGACTGACAGCGAGCGCCCCGCCCGCCCACCCCCGGCGCCCCCAACTGGACCCAAGCCCCTCCCTCGGCGCCTCCTGACCCCAGAACCCCGGCCCGCCCGGCCGCAGCTCCTGTCCACCAACCTGCTCTTTCTGTTTTACCTCCGCTGCCTGGGCTGCTCGCTCTCAGGGCGCTTCTCCTCCCTTCCTACTTTTTGCCCCCCGCTTGCAGCTTTATCCTCCGCCTCCACACCCCACCCCCGCTTGGCGGCCTCTCCCCCTGGAAAAGAAATCGCCCCTGACCGTGATCCGTGCGTCAACCGCTGCCACCTCATTGGTCCCCAAGGCATTCCAGGGGTTCCCCCCTAAGCCGGGAAAACAGAGTCGAGAAGGGGTGGGGGACGGAACGTGGGCACAGTCCTGGGAAACGGTTGAGCTCCTGCCTGTGATGGAGTATTTTGCGTTGGCACTGAGTCTCCAGACCCAAGCACACACCCCCCACCCCACCACCCCGCCTCTCCACACTTCTCTGCCTGCGCTCCCCCACTCTGGAGGACTCGCAAGGGGGCCTTGCTCACCAAGTTCTGTGTCCAGGGTGGCTGGTGGAGGAGACTTGAAGCTGACATAATGACTTTTTAATTCAACGACCTTTGATGCATTGGATCCACAGTCACAGCCACTTTCCCTCTGCTGTCTCCTCGTTGGGGGGTGCTGCTGGATGAAGCGCCCACCAAGACAGCAGTGGTGACCGCCTCTCTCTGTTTCCGAAAGGAGAGCTGGGGAATGAAAGCATTTTTGGTAACATTGGCTCCCGACCATCTCGCTTCTGCCCTTTGGAAAGCTTTAAATGGTTCTTAAGAAATCTCTTTCCCAGGAGAGATGGCTCGGAGAAGGGAGAAGTTCATTCAGCCAAGCCATTGAGGGCCACACACTCCTGCTCCTGGTGTGGCTGTTTGCCCAGGGCTGGCCCTGAGAAAAGTGTGAGGCAGCAAGTTCTGGTCAGGCAGCCCCGCTTAAGGTCATGCTTCTCCACAGGCCACTTGCAGACCAGGGCAGTGGTGCCAGATCCTGGGGACATCAGCACTACAGGGGTTCGTGGCAGGAGGCTACATGTGTCATGTGTGAGCCTGTCACTGAAAATATAGGACCAATGAAAAGGGGTGATGTGGCTGTTTAAAAGCTGGGGTTCCCTGGGTGATTAGTGTAATAGTGCAGGCAGTGCCTATGTGTCCCAGGGCGGCTCTGCTGTCTACTCAGGGAAGAGGCAATTGGAGGATTAGGAGGTTGTGTCTAGAGCAATCCTTGCCCAGAACCCACTGCCCGAGCACCGCAGTCACTGAAATGAGGACTACCTTGAAGCCCAGGGGACATGCCAGATGCTCTTATTCCATTTGCTTTCGAGAAATTAAATTCCTCTCTTTACTTTTTGATAGTGAAAAGTGTGTCCCACCGTGTTGTAATTTATTGTAATTTATCAAACTTTAAATATATACATGGCAAGTGGCTTCCCAATTAAAAAAAAAAAAACATTATCCCCTCAGTAGAAAATATAAAATCAGATGACATCATATGGCACTAAAAAAATACTTGAAAATATTGGGTTTAATTCGTTCACATCTGGTTAAAATAAAAATGCTTTTTTCCCTTCTTGCCTAGTATAAACTCTCAGAAAAGCACATCTTGCTTCCATCCAGCAGATATGGAATTGGTGTCACCCTTGACATGTTCTATAGGGAACATACTTTCGTTGCCATCCCCTTAAATATTTTGACATCCTGCCTTTTTATATCACATTTTAATTTATTGAAGGAGAATTTATTGAAGAATTATATATAGATTTCTCCTTCCAGCTGCCCTAAATGTCTACTAGCTCAACAAGGAGCCAGGTGTTAGCACCGTTTAAATGGTTCAACAAGAAGGGGCCTGATTGTGTTCCCGGCACAGAAAACAGATTGTCTCAGGAAAGAAAGTTCTCTGTTTTCACGTAGCTGGTGTAAAAGAGCAAAAGTTTTCGAGATGTTGTTTCAGATTTTTCCCTCTATTTTTTTAAAAGTTCTTTGTTATGCTTTATTCTGTTTCTAACATGTTTTTCATTACATATTTACCATTGTTTCCATGTGATTATTTTTACAGTGTGATTTAAACCTATGCTTATATATACTTTCTATGGAGGCTGTGAGTTTGCTTTTGCTTAGACTGTTTGTTGGTTTCCTTGTCCTGGGGAAACTCTTGCCAAATCCTAAACCACAAATTGATACACAAAAATGTGGTAGTTGTGAGTAGTTGGGTTAAAGCAGAGCTGCTAGATCTGAGACTGGATGACGACAAAGCTGGTTTCCTCCATCTAATGTTGACTTTATCAAGCAAGTGAACAGCTCTGCCTAGCCCTTTAGTCACGTCTTACTAACAACCAGCCTCGGATACCACTTTCTTCCTTTTTTCCCTCTAACAGCCCACTCTCTCTGTACCCACTAACTTGTTACCGAGACCACAAAAAAAAAAAATAAAAAAATAAAAAATAAAGACTTTATAAACCCTCTCTTCATTGTCCGTGGGAAAAGAAGCATCTGAAATCCACAGAGGTAGCTATAGAAACCATGACAAAGCATAGGGAAGAAAGAAGAAATCATGCATTTAACAGGGAGAATGCAGCACTGCCCTAGTGGTGGTGTGAGAAAGCGAAAACTAAATAAATCAATCTGGGATAGAAATAGCCACACCTTGAGTGAGGATCTACTAACTGCATGACTGAGACCTGTTAGATGAAAGAACTGGTAATCGAGGAAACCGAAGTAAGGACTTGAGAGAGTATAACCAGGTTAAAGTTTGTGTTTCATGCATTCTCTGCTGCGCTAGTGTGTTCCTTGATTCTTTGGGGAGGAGAATTAGGACATGCATCCATATATGGATATACATATATGGATATACATGTATATATGTACACACACATATCTGATACTGTTTTCCAATCAAGCAGCTGCCTCTACTTCAGGTTTAGCAGTCACACTCACTTGACCAACCCCCCCTTTTTAGAACACCCCCACCCCACCAGCCTGCCCAGCCCAGGATGTGCGCCCCTAAAGCACTGAGCATCGTTCTGCTTCATGTCTATTCTTACCACCTACTATTCCACCGTCACGTCCACAAGATGTCAGGGGGTTCATATAACTCATATTTGGATCTTCAACATCGAACACATTTTTATACTCCAGAGTTAGTTACTGAAAATAATTAGTGCAGAAATGCATTTCACTGTATATCATCTGCCAAATAGCTGTCATGTAACTGCTCATTCAATTATTACAATTAAACATCTGCCTCCTCTCTCCTTTTACCCAGTTTCTATAATATATCTTTATTGTACTGCAAAAATTGGCTAAACCAGCCATAACATTGCCAGTGACAAAGCAGTTAAGAATTCTCTACTTTTCCTAATCTTTCAGTGTAAATTTTGCTTAATAAAACATCCATAAAGACCCAGATTGTATGCTCTCATTGTTGAGTCTGGGTCACTGAAGGGTTCTTTCTGATTTCTGGCTGAGAACTATAATTCAGCTGGGGCAGACTACTCTCTAATTCTGGAGTCAACTTTGTTGCGCAGCTACCGCAGATAGAGGTAATTGCAAGTTTTTAAAATTTTGTTGAAGTAACATTGGCTTATAACATTATGTAGGTTTTGGTTGCAAAACATTATAAAGCAACGTCTGCACATACTACATCATGTTTGCCATCAAAAGTCTGTTTCCATTGTCTACTATACTAATTATAAGTTATCTGTACCAAGACTCAAATCATACTCTGCATAGAGATATGATTCTATCAGTCGGAGTCATTCGGTTTTGTGCTGGGATAACAAGCAATCACATAACAACCACCCAAAACCTTCATAGATTAATAAAAAACATATTCTTGCTCTCCCTATATGACAGCTGCAGGTCACCTGTATCTTTGCCTTATGTCCTTTTCATGACCACTGACAGCAATGCTGCTGGTCACTCTAATGAGAGACAGTGAACTCTGGAGGGTTTTACACCAGGAATGAAATGTTGTGACTGAGAAATTACACATCCTTGCTGCTCAGAACTCATGGGGCAGTGGTAGTTATGTGGCCCCACCTCATCATCAGAGGACGAGACTTGCACCCTACACTGTACCCAGGATATTTGGCAAATAATAAGATATGGAAGTAGGAACGTATCACACTTCACTGTAGATATTATAAAAAAGGAAAAAACTATGTGTTTTACATATATGCACGCCAATGTGAAAATCAAGGCTGAACAGAAGTATAAATTCTATAGTAGTTTAACTTTCTGAAATAATAACAAAGTGAAGACATGTGAGTGGCGCAGAATGATTAGAAAGCCAGTTTGGGAACATTTTTGAAATTTACAGAGAATTATAGGAAAAGAGTTTATGGAGTTTCCAATCTGGTTACATACGCCCCAGCTCCCCGCACACACCTGCCATACCTGTGCGACTTTTTCTTTAGACAGTGCTCATCTGCGCTGCACCCACGTGGCTTCCTATTTCCACTCACAATGTGATCAGCAACCTGACAACCCTCCCTTGACCTGCTTTCTTTGGCTATCTCTTCACTATAACACTTCTAACAAGGTTGGAATTGGCCATCAAGAGGAAATTGAAGTCCTGCAGCTAAACTGCTCATAAAATAGTTGCTTGGTATGGAAGGAATTTTATGGATTATTAATCTGATTCTCTGAGATTGAATCCTGGGATTCCAGTGAATGCTATCCTTATGGTTTCCCTATTTTTACAGATCATTAGAAATTTTGTTCTGGGTATTTTTAAATGGAGACAATTAGAACGAGCGAAGGAGTGTCTTGCCACATGTTCTGAAGCAGCCTGGGTCCCAAGAATAAAGAGACTGTCCACGAGGGGCTAAGGATGTTTTGTAAAAGAACTGACTCAGGGACCACAGTCTTTGACTGTGCCACACATCAGAAGAGTTACAAGCAGACAGGACAGTAGATCTAAAGCTGCCAGAATACTAGGAAGAGCAATGGATTCCAGCTCTATTCAAGGAAACTGTGTTTCCCAACTCGATTTAATTACACTTACTCTAACCCAATAACTCATTTTTTTCAGGTTAGTGCTTAATTGTATTTGCAGCTACCTTGGGCTCACTCTTCACCTTGGCCTTGAGAGATTCTCTTCCCTATCTGGTTAAGCTTCATGTACACTTTTTGATAAAAGTAGTATTTCTGCAGCAACAT